TTATTCACTAGCATTCTGCAACTTTATATACATATTGAAATAAGTTGTAAAGTTTATGACACTCTCCCCATCAATTCAGCTCAATACTGCAGTGTTTTGATGTAATTTTCAATTATGACGTCATATTTTTGTAGTTAAGAGAAGTACATACACAGAGTACACTGCAATATTCTCTGGAAAGCCTTATCGTTCCTGCGTTAAAAATGAAATCGGTTTCTAAAGAAAAATGAGTTGAAACAGAATCCATGTCCCTTTATTGGTATTTGACGTAAGACTTTGAAGTAAATTTCCTCCTTAATAATAGAATTAAATTAATTCCGACGCATTTATTGTGGAATGATCCACAGCGTAAATGTGTCATTTAATAAACAAGAGGCTCAAGGTTCTTTTAAGTTACATGAATATCACGCAACAACTATTCAAAGATTGTATTTGGTTCATGTTTTAAACCAGAGGCCATAACGTTCAGAATTTGAAAGAGGTATCATTTCATCATAAATTTACACGTATCAATTGCTTACTTTGGTGACTTCATTCCCATAGGCAGAGTAGGGAAACAAAAAATGTATTTCAACTAATCAGTAGTGTTCAGCAATAATCAGTACACCACCACCACTAACCCACCTACCCCCCCCCCCCCCCCCGAAACCTTCATGGGAACCCTTGAACCTAGGTCCACATATTTCACAATTTGGACAGGCTCATCATAAATGTTTAATGCCAGAGAGCTGATTTCAAACCATTGATTCATTTTCAGTATATATTTGAGCTCCCCACTATGTTCCTTTGATCAAGGCGCTTTGAAATGCACAATTCTGAAAGAATTTGGGTTCTTGCTCATCAAAGTAATATAGGTATTTAATTTGCAGAATACCAAGGAGCAGAGAAGATTTTCAAAGAAAGAAATAATGCATTTTCACAATATAATTTATGTAGTCCAGCTCTAACACCAGACCCTAACCCTGGAGCTTTGAACTTCACTATTATGTGATGAGGCGCCATTCCTCATCTTTGGAAGAATCATTGATGAACCGGAAACTCAATTGCTTTGATAAAAAATTGAATAGGGATAAAAGAATGATACGGTATAATCTATATCATAACGTTAAAATGAATGGTCTTTTTATTTTACTATCAACATACAATTGTTTGTCAATTGGGAACCTCTCATTCAAGGCAATTTTTAGTTAAGAACATTTCTATGAAGGAATATGAAACATAACAGGTTGGTACACCACAGGGAACAATTCAATAAATCTGACTTTGATAACAGACAGAAGTCAGAATAATGCACATAAGTACTCTGAATATGACATCAAAAAGATGCCAGAATTTGATTGACAATCTCCATTTTGTTCGGAGACCAGATCTTCCAACAATCTAATGGAATCTAATAGATTTCCAATGGACTCCAATGCGCCTCATTATAAGCAGACCTATGTTATATTCTAATGAACAAAATTGGTCCAAAATCTTTTGCGTGTGAAGAAGAAAACACTCGCTATGGCCTTCGACTCGACATTTCGATATATCGAAGAGATATTGTTAATTAACAAATGTTATTTCGATTCTTATTTCGATACGATAAATAATGGTGAGCTTAAGATAAAAGATACTACAGAGTCTTACAAATTTTTTCTTATTTGGATATTTTACATGAACATGGCCTTAATGTTCATCTAACAACCAAGCTCTATGATAAAGTGATGACTGTTTGTTTTCAATTGTCAACTTCCCTTACATATGTAGCAATATATCTTCATCGCAATCAAACAGAGTTTATATCTTTCAGTTAATTCAATATGCAAAAACAAACTCTACGTATATACAATTTCTAAAAAGGTACATGTAAATTATTTACAAACAAGTTGATGAAACAAGAATATCACCAGTATCCTTTACAATAATCATTACCTAAGTTCTCTGGTCGATACAATGACCTTGTCACTAAAACAATTTTTCAAACCAAATGTTTGTCCACTATTTATAAACCGAGTTAACGATGGATCTTCCCGTCATTTCCAGATCATGGCAAGGAGCACACTGCGAGTGTGACCGGTCCACAGGGAACGCTATCTCTTCATAGTACCTGGTTACACCTCTGATGTGTTGCAGGTGCGTGTTAGCTTTGCTCCTATTATGTATTGGTTTATGGAATTTTGACCTTGAATATTATTTGTTATCTTAACATATTTCATGTTTAAATTGAGAATATATCCTATATACGAAAGCCGTTCAAAAATTACGCGGACTGTGCTATAATTTACTCTTACAGACGTCATATAATTATAAAACTTTACAGAAATATGTATCTTAAGGGGCAATATCCCTCTGCTCCAAATTTCAAGACTTTTTTTTTTAAATCCAGACATTGATTTTCAGCAACAACTATAGCATTAAATTCAAATGGAAAATAGTTTGAAGTATGAAGAGTTGCTTACTTTTTCAGAAATGAATAATATGTCAAATCATGATGTGAAGAAAATGTGATATGGTAAACAGAAAGATAAATTATTTTTTATCTCACAATTAAATTAGAAATATGAGGTATACATAAAAATAATATTTACTATCATACCTATCTAATTCCCGTTAGAAAACATACTGAAGCGCTGCTTTTTAAATCAGAATAACAAATTCTTTTCTGTGCATGTAAAATAACACACATCCATAAACAAGAGTTATCGTTCCATTATCGCCCTTGAAAATATTTTTTAATGAAACAAAATAATAATTAATTTTTTATAAACAATACTGCATCTGAAATTTCTCTACAATTAAAAGAATTATACTTTAAGAGATAGAGATTTCTCAATTTACACTCTATAAAGGAAGTGAGTATAATTTTTTTAAGTAAACTATTATAAATAATTTAAAAATATATTAGCAATAGAAACTAGAAATCAACATTTGTACAATAGAATAGGTTTGATTGAGTTGACTATAAAATGATCCTTATGATTGAAATTTGTAAACTCTGACATGACAAATCACTGAATTTCATGACAAAATGTCTGAAGAAAGTTATCTCTCTTGTCAGAAAAGTTATCTTTCTTATCAGAGGGTTATTCCACCTTAAAGATTCCAATAAATGTTGGGCAAAATTTCTGTATTTAAAAAAAATTCTACTAAAATTATCGGTATGTTGATATCGTTGATGGAGAGGTACGGCGCACGACAGAAAAATTGAAGCAAAAGCATGCGGATTCAAAAATTTAACGCATTGATTTTCTAAAATTCGCGATATTTTTCAACAATTTTCTCAAATGTACCTTTAAATTGTTCTATGATTATGTATTTAGAATTCGGACGTAATATTTGAAGTACTAACAGAAATATAGTGATTTTTCTCTGATGCGATTCCCGTGAAAACGACTGTGAAAATGACGTCTCCTGAATTGACGGCGCACCACACTTTTGTTCAAATATGTGTAATGCTCGAGATATCGGCAACATTGATCAAAAATATGCATAATAAAACATGTAGTAAACTAGGCTACACGTGACATTCGCCCACAAATAGCATATTGAAATTTTAGACAGCTAGACCTCTGTAAAAGGCTATACGGGAGGACGGGAAGAAGATTATAGACAAAAAGTTAACTTTATCCAGACTGTAAAGAACGTGATTGAGAGTCACCAATATCACACTTTATCTCAAAAGTATTTTTTGGTTTTAAAACAAAAAAAAGAATACTCTTTACTTGTTTAATAGATTTTAAGCTTGACAAGAAATGGCGTTTTGATGTTGAGTAGATAAGGTAACTTAAACTATACAGGAACTCAAGGGAAATTGTCGAGAATGAAAGCTCAATCACATATTTTTTATAAAAATTGTGACATCGAAGATTTTGCTGCGCCGTGACTTAATGGTATGTCCTGAAAAATCACTCAAAATTAATGCCAATTTACAACATTTTGATATAAAATTTTGAAGACCATATAAGTATAGATTCTTTTATATTATTTGTGAAATTTTGCCCGATTATTTCGTCAAATATTTCTTCTGTGCAACGAGTCCGCGTAATTTTTGAACGGCCCTAGTAAAAAGAAAACATATATATGTGGTAGACCAAATTTACTATTATAATTTATCTTATGTATTTATTCGTTTTGGAATCATTCTATTTTTCGTTTCATCTAAAGTAATCTTAAATATTTTTTATCTTAATTTTCATTGGCTCATTTGATATTATCCAATAGTTTTAATTTACCTTGAGTATAAGTAACCGTTCAAACTAAGCAAAATTGGGCAGTATTACATTTTTAAAGAAGAAATTATATCCGGCTGATATCCAGTGCATCTTGTGGTATGTAACTTTCATATTTAATTATTTGTTACTTTACTATTAAAGATTTGGGTATAACATATTATTTTAATTGCGAAGTTTATACTTTATCGTATTTTTGCAGTTAAAGTTGTCTCAGTAAATTCCTATATTTTGTTTGTAGGTTCAAAGTTCATTTTGCTACAGTACATTTTTCTATCTTCTATGTGTATACTGCATAAACGGTAACTTATTGTCAATGTTTATGAAACTATATGTATTTTTTCTAATATATTCTTTGTATTTGTTATAGGTCAATGTCTTTATTCTAATTCTTCAATAAATAAAATGGATACCAACATCTGAGTCATCATTTACCATTAACTGCTCGGTTACATATAGTTCGATGTAAAAAATCATTGAACAGTATACTATTTACATGCTTTTTATTTTTGTTAAGTGGCAGTAAAATTTAAGCGTATGAAAAGTTAAGAAGTTCTTTTTCTATACCTGAATTTAAGAAACATAATACAGTGTAATTTGAAAGAACATTTTTATTACAGAAAAAATAATGATTATGCATGTATTGTTCTGATTTGTTTTGAACAAAAGAATGAAAACAGTAAAAAAAATTATTACTTACAAAACGAATAAAGCCCATAGGAAACAAAATATAAAAATAAAATGATGTGAAAACAAACAACTTAAACAAATTCATTTAGTCAAAGAAAGTCAGATCGTATCAGATAGAAGACTGTGTATTCTTAACAATGTTGCTTTCTGGAGTTTGTGGAATGGTATTTGTTGTAGGGAATATTGATAAGACTGGAGAGATCCCGAATAGTCTACACAGATTTGTTGACAGATTCCCAGTATTTGCCACGAAATATCTCTGAAGCGATGGGATGCATGAGTCCCGTTATCATAGAGAAGCAGAGTCTGTAGATCCTGTAGAGATTGTTGTGACGTCACAGTGTCACCTAGTCTCTGATGATTCAGAATAAACAACATGTGTGACATCACTAGCGGTGGGATAACTAATAAAGGCCTACAATGCTTCTTACTGATATCCTGTTCTAACACTAGTTCATCAATGTAAGTATATACAGAATAAAGCACAATATCTCTCACTACAGCTCTTCTAAACTTAGTACCCAGGGTGTATCTTTCCATGTAGTGTTTGTACACATCTAAATTAACTTGATCCCTATACACGATATACGGCAATGGAATTTCCCCCCGTACTTTATGTAAACAACTGAGTGAGTCTTCATATCTACCTATTTTGTAGTAGTACATAGCAAGATACAGAATGTCAGACAAACAACCAAACTTACAAGACTGTTTTAGCAATTTACATCCTTTATAATCTCTATAGAAAACCCTATTCCGAGTTTGACTTCGATTTTTCCTACTCTGTAAGTACATGGCAGTGTTCCGTAACACATCCGATGTGATGTATTGTAAAGAGACTGTCTGATACTTGGAAAGCCTTTTCCGAATCATGTTTTGCATTTGTTTCATGTAAGCTTCAAATTCCGCAACACTCTCTATGTTACTTTTATGAATTTCTAATAATTCGCCGAAAAATTTTATATCTAATTCATGGCTGGATATAAAACTGCTTTCCTCTGTACAGATTCTTAATGTTCTGTTTAACATAACCCTACTGAGGAAAGATCGGATTGTTTTACTGAAAAGAAGACATGACATCCCCTTACTATACAGATCATACAACTGACTGAACAACGAGGTTTGTGCAGAACCAGTGACTTTTACTCTAAACATGTTGTCTTGTGGAATAAAAAAGTTCGGACAATATCCAGTGTGTACCATGTATATCAATAATTTCAAGCATACCCAGAAACAACTCAATATGTTTTCCGGTGTCCAACTCAAAGAAGTATTGGTTTGTACGACCCAAAATACTATTGTTTTTATGAAGTATGAGCAGAGAATTGATGCATTTGGCTGACTTTTTATAACTTCGTTAAGGAAAAAATTGAAGAGACCATAACATAAAAACTGGCAGTGATTCATTGAAGAAACAAGTTTTTGTTCAGCTCGAGAGAATGAGATCCTCCATTCTAGTTCATTTTCAGGTGTGCTTCTGAAAGGAACAACATGGAATCCTCCTCTTATCATATCTGAGACAACATTCTGATCTGGCCATCCCTGTTTACAACATCTTTGTATCCAGGGTAGTGCTGACGTAGGCCAGTGAAATGACTGGAAACAGAACACTGTGTCAATGCCTAGATCTTGGAATAAATCTGTAGAACAAGGTCCATGAGGGAAAACAGAAGTATCAGAGACATTGATGGTCTTAAACAATTGCAAATGGTTATCTCTGAACAATGTACTTGAAATATATACAGTGGCATTTATTACTACACAGGAGAAAAATATTTTTGAATTGTTTGATGGACTCATCAAATTAAGTCTGGTAAATCCTGGTGGCATACCATCATCACACTCCATCAGGATTACGGTGTGTTGTGGGATATGGTAGAGATTGATCTGTGAGAGATCACATATAATCTTATGGTCGGCAGGCCAAAACATCGAATCTTCATCTGAAGTAATTAGTCTGAATCCCTCACGTTTACTCCCACTCGTCATTCTATCAAATCCCCTCAAGATGTTCACAGGTCTTTTCAACACCTCCTCAGTGTCCATAACTTCTCTTCTGATCCTCACTTCTGTAGGACTCCCTACTTCACGGCACAATCCTATATAGACAAAGTCTGACAGGCACATATCTAAAACATAAAGAAATATACATCATTTCCTTTGTTTTCATATGAATTATCAAATACTTTTAATGCGAATACTCAGCTATTGACCATACAATTATGTTTAAGGGTCTTTTGTGTTTGAGGAACTATTTCTAAGGACGAAATCAATAAAACGTTATCAATATGTGAAATACTACTGAATGTACGTCCAAAGTCCTCAGAAGATGAAAAAAATATACTTAAAAGCTTTTTTTTAAAGATGTATAAAATAATGGTCAAAGTGAGTAAATATTATATATGTTTAAGCCTAATTTCGTTTCGGAAATAAAATTCAGGAACAATAAGCTTCTAATAGCCGTAATAGATATAAAGTATCTCAGCGTTCCTTTCCAAAGATATCCATACCGCATGAGATAGATAAGATTAACATTCAATATTCTTAATTTTATATGAAAGGGTAAGTGTATATAATGTTCATCCAGACATGAATCTTTAAAAAAAATGATCGCACTTATTTTGCTGTGATAATCTTTGACTTTTTAGTTGAAAAGTGTGCTAAACTGTACATGGAGTATTTAGTTTTTTAATAGTTGTTTTTCAATTAACAAAATAATCCATAATCCTATAATGAACTACAGATAATTCAAACGTAATAAATCTTCTTCATAACGATTAATGATTAAGTGGTTTCCTTTGAAAATTCAATTGTAAAGAAAAATAGTGGGTTTTTTTATCCGTGGCCTTGATATCCCCACAGGTCTATGTTCTATTCAGCAAAGTTCTATGCATTTAAGAATCAGGATCGGAGTTTGAATTTGTGATAATTGTCGAACGTGACAAGCTTTGTATGGGAAGTCCAATAATATTGAAAGTTAATCTTAATTGTTAGTATTTTTTGCCCATAGCTAGTTTAAAAAATTAAAGATATACACGCTATATAAACGCCGATTTTTATGTGAAACGAAATAATTAAATGATTTGGAACAAATGGAGTGTAATTAAACGTTAATATTTTCCCCAAAATTTTATTAAAAAGTCGTTATAATAACAAAATAATTAAGCAATATCTGAAATTAAGAATCCATTCTTTTTATGAATATTGATGAAAGAAGTGCATAATCCGTATATAGATACGCATGTCAATGGGGAATCTTTGTCAAAGAGGTTGTGACAAAAATTATTAATAAAAGGTTTATGTGTGTCATTCCAGAAAAGATGATTGATACCGATTACACTAAAAGATCATTAAGAGAAAGACATTTATCATCATGTCAAAAGTTATTTTATTACTATCTCGTTTTTTTGACGCCTGTTTGTTTATCAATCTAAAAAAGCAAAAGCTCTGCTCCCAGCAGGCACTCAACGTTGTTTCAACGTTGAAAGGAGGTGGAATATAGGTTTCAACGTTGATCAACTATATTTTAACCTTGTTTCAACGTTGAATCCTCAACCTTTTTTCAACGTTGAAACAACGTTGAAACTGCAACATATTTTCAACGTTGAATGTTCGTCGATATTTCAACGTTGAAACAACGCTGAAGCTGCAACATATTTTCAATGCTGATTGTTCGTCGATATTCCGACGTTGAAGCATCGTTAAAGCTGCAACATATTCTCAACGTTTGATGTTCGTTGATTTTTCAACGTTGAAACAACGTTGAAGCTGCAACATATTTTCAACGTTGAATGCTCGTCGATATTCAGCATTGAAACAACGTTGAAGCTGCAACAAATTCTCAACGTTTTATGTTTGTTGATATTTCAACGTTGAAACAACGTTGAAGATTCAACATGTTTTCAACATTGGGTATTTTCTTATATTGTAGATATTTTATTTCAAGGTTTAAAAATGCAAAAGTTGACTGTTTGTTGATTCAACGTTGAAACAACGTTGAAAATGCAACATATTTTCAACTTTAGGAAAGTTAGGAAAATTTAACGTTGAAACAATGGATAATGAGTATTGAACACTTTACGCAGAACAGTTAAGGTTACAAAAAGTAGGCGGAGCCTAATTTGTACGGGAAAACTTGACTATGACATCATACACAATATACGTCATACAACATTTCTTTAAAATACCACGAAATGAGTTTATCTGCTAATTTGACCAGTAAGAAATCATCAAACAACATAAAATCGTACTACAGCGTGCTGTTTTGTCGTTAGTTAAATCCCACATAGCAAGTTATAAACAAGTCACTGATCGCAATACACTTGTCAATATGACGTCATTTCTTACAACGTGACGTAGTTTGTATGCAGTGAGAGACAGATCAAGTACTATTTTCTCAACAAAAGATGTATTCTCTAATTAAATAAAATATTATTTACAGATATTCTATGGGCCAAAAACTTGAATTTAATGTCTTCTTCACTTTTTTATTAATATATTTTCTGTACATTACGTATTTAATTGACACTGCCGTATATTTGTATGCAAGTACATCGGGAATAATGTGAGGGGTCTTAATAAATCGATCTAGTGCAAGGGCATACACTCTATGGATCATAGTAAGCTTTTACATTTCAACTAAAGAACTATTAAGGTATATGAAAAGTGCTGCGATCCTGATGAAATCTTAAAAACAATTTAATTATATCAATATTCCATGCCGCTGACCGACAAAAAATATAGCATTCGGTCATACAAGTATAATTTTAACAATGAAATTGCAGAATTTAGATAGGATCGCAGCACTTTTTAGAAACTACAATGCGTGTTGAAAATTTTTATTTACTTAACTTGGAAATTTAACTTGGTTATACCCTTGCACTAGTGAAATTTATATGTAACATCAATACTTCAAGTCAGTGTGCTAAAATCGTGTGACTGCCGCATTACGTGACTAGTCTAAATATAAAATATAATTCTCCTCGATATGTAGTTATTAATCATAATTATAATTATCCGATATAAATAATGTACAAAAAAAATCGCCATCCAAATTACGATTACATTTTTAAATACAAAATTTAGTCGAAACTTCGATTGTTCACCTTAACTGTACTGCGTAGTTTGTAAGGTCAAAATATAAAGGTGTCTTTAACTCTCAATCCATGCGATTTTTCGCAATATACATACAGCTGTATGCATTTTTAGAAAATATTATACAGGTATATGTAATTATACATAATAAATGAAACGTATGCATTATGAATTGATTTACTCAAAAGAGTTGTGCCAACAGCTAGTACCATTATAAAATTTTAAATATGAGTTTATGTGAAGTATGGCATCTACATTTAAAACTTCATTATGATTATGCTTCAAAAAGGTTAATTTTTTAAAATAAATTTTGCATGAATGCAGTTTTTTTTGGTTTTCTTTTTTTTTTACATATTTATAAAATATATTAAATGTGAGCTTTTTTAAATAAATACTAGGGTTGTCCCAAAAAGTCGTAGACAGGGAACGTAATTTATTATCTCTTTGCTAAATCAAATCTCTTTTCTTGTCATAGCAAAGAGTAACATTTTATGATCATGTTTTTTTAAGTTTCATGAGGATATCACATTTAATAAGAAAATTTATGAAAAAATAAAGAAACCATGTAAGTGTACATCGGCGCACGAAAGCAATCGTAATTTACGTCTCTCATAACGTCATGGTCCTTTTTTTTTTTTTTTTTTTGCTTTACATGAGGTTATCAACATCCAAATGAATATTTCAAAAGTGAAAACCACTCTTGACTAATGGAATAATTTAAATTCACTACTATCCGTTTTCTTAAGTAATTCAAATCTAAGTCAAAATTAAATTAGTTGAAAGATCACCTTACATTTTAGGCAGCAGAGAATACACCTTGTTTGACGACGTTTGTGGTCCAGAACGTTCCCCGCAAATGTCTGCATGAAACAATCAGTACTCTACTTTATATGCTATTTATTTTTTCGATATAGAGGAAAAACTATCTTTGAATCTCATACTATTAAAAAACAACTTTTGTATCAAAATATAGTGTGTAATGTCCTTTCTGTACTCTTTCCCCCCGTCTCAGATGAATATAAAACATATCGAAAACAATTTATTACATTTCCGTGCGCCGGGTATGCGTTCGACGAGGTCATTTTCATCAAACTCAATTCGAACAACAATTTGAAAATTATGCCACCAGTTTTCTGTTTTTCACGCTATTTATATGAAATTTTGACAAATTATTACGATTTTGATTCTGATTTCATTGATTTAAATTTTATTTCAATCTTTGACATAGTACCAAAGAAATAAAAACAAATGTAATAGTAATATGCGTAAATCATTCCGAATTTTGGTCGTGCGCCGACAGACCATATCCGCCTTCATATAAATCGTCCCAATATAATTAATATGAATGAAATATATTTAAGAATTCACAATTTGAAAGAACATTGAATGTATTATGTCTATGCAAAATTTGGTTAGTATTGGTTGCGTGTTAAAAATGATATATCCGTTGTCTACGACTTTTTGGACAACCCTCGTAATGCCATCTTTATCCAACATCTCACTGTAATTCCATGTTACTATAGAATTAATAAAAATAATTATTTATTCCGAAGTAATGTTCTTCAAATTCGACTCATATATAGCCTAGATGGACGGATACTCTTGCGCAGATTGTTATACAGAGCCAATCTTAGGAAGTCTTATTTTATTAGATTGTGCTTTTGTTGTGCGTAATAATTCTATAATCTTTCTTTTCACAAAATATAAAAACAATTCAAAGAAACAATTTTCACACTGACAATAAACCCCGATCAAGTAGCATTACTTAAGATCCACTACCCTAAAGCCTTCGAGATATCAGATAAGGAGTGACTCTCGCTTAGTTGGTCAGTTTCAGTGTCAGGATAACCTTGTATGCCATTTTCTTGCTTGGCAGAATTGTTTGCAGCTTGTCTAGCTCAAAATTTGAATTAAACTGATGGACAAGAAGTGCACGTCTCCTTGCTGTTCATTTTTAATGTGTTTTCAAGCTATATACACAAAGATTAAGGCTGGAATATTAACTTCTGCTCAGTAAGTATTAAGTCCTTTTC